GTATATTGGAAAATACCGGTCTGCATTTTTCTGTGACATCCTTTTGTCTTTTCCTTTCCTTAAACACAAACCTGCTATCCTTTCATCTTTCCTTTCTGGCATTCCTTTCCTAGCATATAAACCCACTATTCTTTTATCTTTCCTTTCCTGCATTTATTCTCTCAAACACAAATCTGTTTATTCTTTGCCATCCCTTTCTGGCATTCTCAATACCTACCGTTTTAATGTAGGGCATAATAAGCAGTATTCAAAATAAGACTCTGTTAGTTATAATTTCTTCTGTGCTAAGTTATGTTTATATTGGGTTTTGTGCCTGGAACCGCTGTCCTAATGCACGAAGATAGGTTTGCATTGGGAGTCTGATTTTTCTACGCAGGAAAGAATAAATTCTTTCTGCAACCTCTTTCTGGTCTTATTTTGTTGCAAGAACCAATTGCTGTGCAAATAAAACTGGTGTTTCAGCTTAACACTGCTAGAGATGGGAAATGTGCCAAACCAAGGAGGCTAAACCTGGTTTCTAGCCTGGATATTTTAACTTAGCTCCACCACTGTGGAGTGAGTCATTAAGTTTGAGATTTGAGCTATCCAACCTTGGTAAGGCGGTGGAATATCCCATTATCCCACCTAGTTAGTAGAGGGACATATGTTAAGGTCACCAAATTTATTTCAAGGAAATAAAAGTGGGGAGAATATGTTCTGAGACATGGAAACAGGCTGGGATTCAGTATCTGGAGATTTTCTTTGGGGTCAAGAGGAGTCTGTGAGCCCTGGCTGCACCTTTTCAAGGGCACCTCAAGGAAGAAGGAATGATGATGAGTAAGGAGCTGTGCCAACACTCAGAGCTCAGCAGGACTGCTCTGTAAGTAGGAAAAGAGAGTACAAAGGCATGAAGTTTGTAGAAGACATCAACACACGTGTGAATTAAGGGGCTCGGAGATTATATTCTTAGTTGTTCTTACATGGAAACCGGTAGAAAGCAGCTGTAAATCTCTTGAGGACAGTGCAATTTTGCTAGTAGGAAGCCAGCATAAAACCGAAGGTTCAGGGTATATATTCCCACCAGGATGTTTTAATTTCTCTTTCCTCTCTTTGTCGCTGATGCTCGCCCTTCCATAACCTTCACAACTTTCCCTTGTCACTTCCTGCTCTCACCCATCCCTGGAGATATCCTCAGTTTGTAATACTTTTTACCTGCATCCTTCAGCTGTGCCTCCATTTTTCCAAGAAGAAATGACCAGCAAGGAAGCAGTAGAAGGTGGAACGGCCACTTTGCACTGTGAGCTCAGCAAGGCATCTGCCCATGTTCAGTGGAAGAAGGGCCATCATGTCCTCACCTCGGACAACAAGTACAGCATGGGACAGGAAGGCTGTGTTGTGGAGCTGGTAGTTCACAATTTAGACCTGAATGATACTGGAGATTATACCTGTGTATGTGGAGACAAGACCACCACAGCTGCCTTAACAGTGCATGGTAAAGTAATCCTTGGGACTAAGGTCCTCCAAACCTTAGACCTGCCCAAGTCTCTGTTGCTACAGTCTGTTCCCGCTCCCTTTCTGTTTGCTTGTGCTTTTGTGTTCCTTTTGGAGTTTGCTCATGTTCTTCCTCCTTCTGTTAGAATTGGGAAAAGAGCTGCCTGGTGGTGTTTGTCCTCCTCAGCTGTGCTGGTCCTTCTCACTTTCCTTGCCCTGATGCAGAGTCCAGGGAAGCCGGGGGAGATTTTTCCGCTGTGTTCCACTGACCTGGATCAGGGCTCAGTAGAGTACTGTGCATCCTCTCCCCCAGGACCTCATCTAGCTGCTTTTTTAGGAATATTCATTCTCTCTAAGGTAATTCTTTTACTCCTCAGCACTGCCTCCAGAATTCAAAAAAGACCTGGAGGACCTAGAAGCTGTAGAAAGTGGGACAGCTGCTCTGCGCTGTGAGCTGACTAAACCTGCTGTGGTGGAGTGGAAGAAGGGGCAGGAGGTGCTCAAGCCAAGCAGCAAATATAAAATGAGTCAAGATGGTGCTGTTGCAAAGCTGATTATCCATGAGCTGGATGTGGAGGACACTGGAGAATACACCTGTGTGTGTGGAGATCAGCAGACAACTGCCACTTTGACAGTCAATGGTAAAAAAAAAAAAAAAAAAAAAATTAAAAACATTTTTAAAAAGAGAAAAAAAGAAAGGGAAAAGGTTATAATATATTCTGAAAATAAAAGCTGTATGTTAGTGTCACTTACGGAGAAGACTTGGCTATGATTCGTACGGAAGGTGTGCAGAATAGCATGGTCTATACAGCCTAATAGAGTGACCAGGTAGAAAATGGGAATCGCAATGCAGAACTAAATGCATTTTGTCAGTATGTTACTGTCAGGATAATTGTGATCTCTCCTGCAAGTGGCCTGCCTTAAGAGGGAATCTGAACTCTTACAAATCCCTGCTGATCTTCAGACTCTCCCTTCTGTGATCAGGGCAACATGTTGGCTATTTTTATAATAGGAAAAATATTCTGCCATTTTTAGATCATAGATTAGATTAAGCTTGTATATACTTCACGACAAATGTAAACTAATTTCTTCTTATTCTGCCAATATTCCTATTACCTCTCTGGGGAAATAGCCTTATACTTTGAATCTAGAGCATTGAGGTTTAGAGACATCTGCAAAAAAGCTCTTTTGGCGCTTTCATTTTCTTTCCACTTTCTCTTTTCCGAACCCCAACTGCAGTATGTTGCAAGTCATATTTCTATTTTATAGCCTTCCCAGCACTTTTTAAACAAGAGCTTCAGAATACCGAGGCAGAAGAAGGTGGTACAGCAACACTGAGGTGTGAGCTTACCAAACCCAACGCTCCAGTAGAGTGGAGGAAAGGAGATGCTACTCTCTACCCTGGTTTGAAATACGAGATGAAGCAGCAGGGCTCCACTGCTGAATTGGTCATTTATGACTTAGAACTGGATGATTCAGGAAAGTACACCTGCGACTCTGGACATCAGCAGACAACGGCTGTGGTAACCGTACATGGTAGGCAGAGTGTTGACCCTTGGCCCAATAAAGATGAAGTGAAAGGAGCATCTCTGTGTTCCCTAAGGATATGTATTAATTTTGCTACTGGTCAATGCCAGCATACACATTCTACTTGAGCATGACACACGGTCAAGTTAGAGAGGTTCTGCTTGCAGTATCTGGAGTGATTAATCAGCATCAAAGCAATTAAACGTTGTCATGATGTCAAAATATGATGAACCTTCCTGCCCTCTGAGTGGAGGGAGTGTGGCTGCATGTGGGAATGGATAACAGAAAATAAGCCAGGCAGGCTGATGGTTATTTTGGGTTGTTGATTGCTTCAGTAGGCATAAGAGATGCCTAATTGGGCATAATGCCCAACTGGGATAGTAAGAGATGCAACAATTGGGGGGTAAAGGATTTCTATAACATGTGAATGTGCTGTATTATTACTTGAGGCTTTGAGCCTCAAGTATAAACTGGGTGCAAACAACTGCATCCACATCTGTTTTCCTTCACCCCTTCTACCATCCAGAGCAAGACCTTGCCTGAAATCTGAATTTCCTCTTCCATTTACCACTTTATCGTCCTTTTTTATCGTACTGCTTCTTCTTGTATTTTGGATGCTAACTTGATCTTTTATATGTCGATAGAAGCTTTATTTGGAGGGAAAATGCTCTTCGCTAAATATTGCAAACTCACAGACCTTTATTAAGGAACAAGGCTCCATGTAAGAGAGAGCATGTCCCAGTGGTCTTTGACTAAAGCATCCCTAGTTGGCATGGAGACGCTTCAGTAGGAATGTCTGACTCCTTCAGATCACAAACCAGGCCATTCTGTGGACCCCTCTCTCAGACCAGATCTTTCCTAACTTCACCATCTGTCCTCAGCTCTTGGTTCACATAATGGTTCAAGAAAGTTGCTACCAAGACAAAGAGCCCAAAGATTGTGGAATCATTAGAACAGGCCATTTCTGAAGAATGATGGTAGGATTGGGTCCTGTCCGGGCTAAAATTCTCTTAAACATTTCCCTCTCAAATTTTGCAGCACTGCCTGTCACATTTAAGCGACCCCTTCAAAATAAGGAATCGGAGGAAGGAAGTACAGCTACATTGTGCTGCGAGCTGTCGAAACCCAATGCTGCAGTGGAATGGAGGAAAGGAGGAGTGGGGCTGCAGCCCAGCCAGAAATACGAAATGAGGCAGAGGGAATGCCGGGTAGAGCTCTTAATACATAATCTCAAATTAGAAGATACAGGAGAATACAGTTGTGATACTGGGGATCAGGAAACCAAGGCATCTTTAAATGTGAAAGGTAAGTGGTGCGAGCTGAATCCTAAAGCAATAGATTTCATCCAACATGCAAAACAACAGTTTGAATATGAATATTTTTAAGTACATTATTTTTTTCCCCTATAAATATTTTCTTTTCATCTGATATACTAGGATTTCTTTTTTTCCAATCAGAACAGAAGAGGATGATACTTTGTTCTTCCAGTGCTGCATTTGAGTTTTGTGTTCTAAGAAGAATTACTTTCTAGCTTTATGGCTGGGGAGAAATTAAAGAAAGCACAGTGCTTTAACATGTCATGTGAAATGTCCAGATGTTATGTGGCTTAAGTATTTAAAAAAAATATTTTCTTCCAAATCCTGGAAGAAGACTGACAATGACCTTCCTGATCTGCCAAGGCTGTCCACGGAGTTTTGAACTTCTTTACTCTTGAGATCTTTGTTAGATCAACTGAAGGATAAATTCATTCAAAGAATTCCACCCTGGGAAAGATTTAAGTCAATGAACGAAGGAAATAAATAAGTGCTGATGGCTGCTTCTGATGCAGCAAGATCTCCTAGTAGCTCCAGGAAAATTAGAAAACATGGATCCTGCCTAGGAATACAGCACTTGCAAAGCACATTATCTTGTTCCCCGAAGTGTCGGTCTAACTGTGATAACCAGGACTTGACTCAGGCTTCAATAAAAGCTCCTGTTGCTTCTTTTTTTTCCCCTTTAGCTCTGCCAGTTCTTTTCAAAAAGGAGCTCAAGGACAAGGAGGTGGAAGAAGGAGCTGCAGTGAAATTCCAGTGTGAGCTGACAAAGGATAATGCAACAGTGGAGTGGAGGAAAGGCACCATGGAGCTCTTCTCGTGCGCCAAATATGAAATCAAATTAAGTGGTCGCACAGCTGAACTGGTGATTCATAATGTAGAACCAGAAGATGCTTCTGATTACACGTGTGATACAGGAGACCAGCAGAGCACAGCAGTCCTCAGAGTGAATGGTTAGCATTGCATCAAAATGGAACAGAGGATAAAATGGATTTGTAAAATTGTGCGAATGATATACTTTTATTCATTGGTGAATAAGGCACCCTAAAAGTTAAGATAAAGAGGAAAGCAGATGCCCTGTCATAAACCAGACTACAGAAAAGTGGGTCTTATGGGGCAGGATTTGCAGAATGGCTATTTAAGCCTGTAAAGCAGTGTGCAGTGTATTGACCCCTTCTCTGATATGATTAAAGCAAGAAACTCTGCATCATGGGGATTTTGAAATTCTAATACATCTTTATTTTTGGCATTTTGCATTCATTGCTGGCTCAGTTGAATCAATAAGTAATCATAAGTCATTTACAAAAGCATTTAAAAAAATCACTATTTTCAATTTTTGTAATGCCCTTCCATGAAGATCTTGAGAACACTGTGTTTAAACAAACCAGGAGTGATGTCTGTGATTAATCGCTGTCTGAAATTTTAATGGTCATCTCAAACTGTTGCGTGCAACTTGTGGCTTTGATCTAAGCCACAACCTTTCAAACTACATCCTCTTGGCTGAACCTGACCCACGCAGCAGCCGCTGGGTCAACTACGAGTGAAAGAGCCCTGTGCTTGCTTTACGTGTATCACAACAGGGTTTAGACAGAGGGACCACAAGCACTGAGAATCCTGTTTTCACAACTGCTCACACACACACACACACACACATGGGGTGGATATTCCCTTCTCGTTTTCATCAGTGACAAGCTGTTGTCCCAGTTGTTCCATGCCCCGCTTGAATAAATGTAGACCATTTGTTTGTGCGTCATCTGGAAGGACTCACTCTTGATGGTCTAGGGTCTTGAAAAGATAGCAGAGAAATAAGAGATGTGTTTAACGCATTACATCCTTTATGGTGTTGGAAATCAGGAGTATTTCTATAAAAATGAACAGATTTACACTAGTTTTAATGAGAAAGTACCAGGTTTTGCTTAGCCAAAATCTTTATGCATGTGGGAGTTTCCAATATCCAGAGCAGATGTGTAAAAGGTGTAATGCGGATGCCCTTGACTTTATGGGAAACAAACATATTTGGGGAACTTTCTGATCCTCTCCTTGTCCAGATATACAGAATATAGGTTTGTTTATACAGAAAAAAATGTTGTTATTATCATATAACCACTTAATGCAAATTTGTTCTGCAGTGTCAGACCCCAGGTGCCTTATGCCGAGTTGTCCAGACCTGGCATTCAAGCTAACGAATCATGCATTAATTGTTTTTCACTTTGCAGCCATCAAACCCCAGCTGAAGCAGCAGCTGAAGAATGAAGAAGTGGAAGCGGGAGGAACGGCCAGGCTGCGCTGTGAGATTTCCATTAGCAAAGCAGAAGTGGAGTGGAGGAAAGATGGAGTCGTCCTTCACTCAAGCTCCAAGTACGAGATGTGGCGGGACGGCACCCTCCGCGAGCTGCGTGTTCACCGCCTGGAGCCCAGCGATGCTGGAGAGTATTCCTGCAAGGCTGGAGATGAGACGAGCTCTGCAAAACTGACCGTGAAAGGCAAGACCTGTTTTTTGGGGCAAGGGGATTTTCACTTCAGGAAGCTAAGATTTTGCAACATAATTGTTACCGTTGTGATAAACAATTGTGACAAACTACTGTGATAAACACAGAGCGTAGGAACGGTATCATAAAAAATCTTGTGCTCAATGAATACACTGAAGCAAAGGTTCAGGAGAGGATAAGGCAGCTGTAATTTTTGACTCATGGCTTGAAATATTTGCTTGACATCATGTGCATGTGAGTGAACAGATGGGTCATCCCCAGCGCCCTGTCACATGGCAGCTGCATCTGGCCTTAATGTCATCACAGACAGAGCTTGCTTTCAGGTTGGACCACTGGTGTGGAACAATCACCACTAGCATCTCTACAGGCTACTCGTTATTATACATACTCTGTACATTATGCCCAACTGCGTAATTTTTCGTGCAGATGGTGACCTCAGTTCTATGAATATGAACTCTGTTTGCTCAGATGAAGGTTGCGCTGCTTCTCCTTTGGTATTCCCCAGCAGATTCGGGGTTCATGCAGCTTTTGCCTGTCGCAGGCTCTCTGTATGATCTTTGCACAGATCTGCAGGTGCCCAGCTGTCCTAGAAGCAGGACTCAAGCACACTGAAGCGCGAATGTCCTGTGCTCACGCTAATCCAGTAAGTCCTGCTGAGAGCACAGAGCCAACCAGATCCCCAGCCAGTTTGGAGTGCCAGCACGGAGTATATGCAATTTTGCTTGCAAAAAGACAGTAGAGGGGATCAGGTTTTCATGTTATTCATGATATCTAAGCGTAAATGTAACAAATTTTAAAATCCTGATTTTAGCATCTGGTGTTCACACCTTATTCACCCAATTACAGTACCAAACATGTAATTAAAAAATCAATACGCAATGTATCTTCGAGAAAGGGCAAGCAATAAAACCACTAACTGAAAAATATTGGCCGTGTAACCAAGTACGCTGAAAGTAGTGAACCAGCAGAGTTTGAAACATGTGATTTGAGAGGCTGTAATATCTCCATCCTTGGAGGCACTTAAAACTCAGCTGGACAAGGCGTTGAGCAGCCTGCTGTAACCTGGCCCTGCTTTGAGCAGTGGTTGGACCAGATGGCCTCCAGAAGTCCTCTCCAACCTATATTATTCGATGATTCTATGATTTGATCCATGTTTTTCCTTTCATGGCTTGACTACTGATGGACTGTTTGCAGAGCCTGATGTGACCATCGTGAGTGGCCTGAAGGACATGGTGGTTTTAGAAGGGGACGATGTCACGTTTCGGTGCCAGGTTTCTCATGAGAATGCAAGGGATGTTGAATGGAAGCTACAGGATGTTGCTCTGCAAAATAACGAAATGAATGAGATCTCAGTGGAAAAAGGGAAGATTCACACCCTGACATTAAGGAAGGTGACTGAGCAGGACATTGGCACCATCACTTTCCGAGTGGGACCCCACACGTCGACAGCAGAGCTCACAGTAAAAGGTAAGGGCTCTCTGTGATGTGGGAAAGGAACAGGGTTGGTGAGAACAGGTAACATTTTGCTTGTGCCAATAGTAAATTCAAGGCCATCGTTCACCCCTTGTTAGCTCATGTTAGCAGGGTACTTCTGCTTCGGAGCATATATGATGTACTAACGTACATATGTTGTCATCACTATGGACAGAAAGTGGAAGTATCACCAGGGTCCTGAAGGTAACTGGTTTCTAGCACAATTACTGAGGTAGCTCCAGTAAGTGGATTGACAGACCTGTAATTTTCATTGCTTCCACTCCCCTTTTTCTTTTCCTTCTTTGGAGTCTTTCTTTCTCTAAACGCTGTTTTGAAGAAATTCTCAAACATCCTTCTCCTTCCCTCTTTGAAACTGTTGGTGTGGTTGAAGTCTTCATCCCATCTGAACCAGTTAAAACTTCTGTAAAGTTTTTGATTAGCACTTCAGTAACTTCGACGAATATTTGTGAGGGGGTTTCATCCAAACTCCATTCACTTGTTTTAACCCCCCAGAAGTTAACACAGAAGTTAAAGTATTTTTAAATACTTAACCGTTCAGCTGTAGCTTTAACACAGCAGGGAAACAAGATAAAGGTGACTGTAAATGCCGTTGCTGTGTTTGTAATTTCAGTGCCACCTCCAGTCTTTAAGGAGAAATTACAGAGCACAGAACTGCAGGAAGAAGAAACAGCCATCCTCTGCTGCGAGGTCTCGCAGCCTGATGTTGCGGTGGAGTGGAAGAAGGGCACCCAGGTGATTTCCCCAAGCTCCAAGTATGAAATCAGGCAGGAAGGAACAATCCATACCTTGAAGATTTATCATTTAAAACCAGAAGACTCTGGCAAATACACCTGTGATAATGGAAACGAACAAACGACAGCCACTTTAACTGTTAAAGGTAGGTTGTTTGGGTTTTTTTTTTAAGATGAGACACTTGTTCCACTTCCTTAGCTTAGTACTAGCGAGAGGGTGTTATCTACTATCCTTGACATCAGATGTACTTTGCTGGTATAAAGCAGCTGAGTCCTTTGCTTTTGGAAGTTATGTTAAGTCCTGCGGTGTCTTGAGCAAAGAAGATGGAGGCACCCAAGCATAGTAACTGCTTCCCCAAGCCTAGACTGAAGGGCCTGTTTCTGGTCATTCAGAAAAACAAGGCTGGAACTAAAATTGAAGTGAGACCATTTTGATTCTTAACCACCTCAGTCCTTCGAGTCCCACCTGGGCAAATGGTGCTCAAGAGTCCAAGTGCCCAAACTTACCTGGGCGCTCAATTCCAGCTGAAGAGCAAGTGCCTAGGGTCTTAAAAATAGGTGCAATGTGCCAATATGCCAATATTTTTAAAATCCACTCTGGTACTGGTACAAATACAGTATTAATGTGACTTTCTCTGAGATACAAGATCTTTTTCTGAGATACGAGCTAAAATAAAGAGGAGCCAGGAGGTTCTTGTGAAATGCCGACTTTTGAAATGTCTCTTGAGGGCTCTCCCATGAAGGGCACGCACCTGCCTGTTATCACACTAACTTCAGGATCCAATGATACCAGAATATTTGTACTGTAAGCAGATCCTCTGATGGTGGCTGTCCGTTTGAGTTTCTATGTGTGGTCCCAGCCACTCCAGCACTCTTTGAAAAAAACCTCCAAAACCAGGAATCCAAAGAAGGCTCTACGGTCACCCTTCATGCCGAGCTCTCCAAACACGATGCACCAGTGAGGTGGAAAAAAGGGTCAGTCTTGCTCCAAGCCAGCAACAAGTATGAGATGAAGCAGATGGGGTCTGCTGTGGAGCTACTTATCCACGATCTACAGCTGAAGGATGCTGGAGACTACAGCTGCGATTCTGGCGATGAGCAAACGATGGCATCCTTGGTAGTGAGAAGTGACAAAAAGCTTTCGCTTCACCTTTTAGGGAGCTCTGGGTTAGTTTAGATGTTCCATATGTAAGATTCAGGGACGCTGTGGCAGTGAGTCTGGTCCTTTTTTGTGATGAGGATTTCTGAATCAACGGTGATACAGTCTGACAGACTAGGTCTTCACAAAGACATTATTTCTTTCTCCTACTTATTCCTTTGCTGGCTCCTAAGAGCCCTAGGGCTGCAGGACTTAGCTGCACCATGGGATGCCTTCACTGCAGGTGCAACTGTACAAAAGCCTTGACGCCAGCCATTGCCCAGCTGTCCCACAGAATACACCATCCATTCCTACATCATCTGCAAGCACCTTCAGATCTCTCTCCTCTAATACACATCTACCACCCAGTTCCTGTGAATTCACTCTGATTTCTAGAGCCCCATCTTCTTCCCTTGTAAATACCAATTCAGCTGTAACTGTGGAGCCACCAAGGTTCTTCGGAATTGATCTTGAGGAACTAAACTTCTACATGCGGTGCATTGTAAATCAACCCACCAAAACTCCACCTTGACCCATCAGTGATAAACACCAGTGCAGAGACTTCCAGAGTTCATCTCTCTTCTGGGTCCAGTTTTCAAATGAGGGGCATTATATAATGGTGTTTCTCCATGCACCCTCCCAAATACCCAGGAACTTAGATATCAGGCATAGGCTTTTGAGTTGTGCCTTTGGTACCCATTTGGAGGTACATGCACTTAGATGCTCAAGAGTCCATATCCTGACCACTCATGTGTAAAGGAACATATTCCCAGAGGTGCCCAGCGTGTGCAGTGCCCAATGACTCTTGGGGAGTGCAGAGTCCTTCGTGCTCCTGGAAATCCAGCACTTTCTGTCATTCCTTGTTTGGATTTTAAAGTAATTTTGGAATTGAGTTTGAACCAAATTTGAAATGGCACCACAGTTTCACTAAACACAAGACTTAGTGACACAGTCAGCAGTGAAACATAATTTTTTTCCTCTGATTTATCTCTGTTTAGCTTTGCCAGTAATCTTCACACAACCGCTCCAGAACCAGCAAGCCGAAGAAGGCGGCACCATCACTTTGAGCTGTGAAATCTCAAAATCAAATGCCACTGTGCAGTGGAAGAAGGCCGGGACAGTGCTGCGACCAAGTGACAAATACAAGATGCGCCAAGCTGGGTCCGTGGCCGAGCTGATGATTCACAACCTGAGTGAAGCTGATGCTGGGGAATACACGTGCGACACGGGGGACCAGCAAACCACTGCAGCTGTGCTCGTGAAAGGTGGGGCTTTGCATGGGGAAGAGCTGAACAGAGCTTGGTACCGTGGCAGGGGAACATGATTAAGTAATTTGACAGCTAGACATTGTCTTGTGCCCAAACTGAATCATGGGGATCTCAGAGACGAGAGTGATTTCAGAGGGATAACAACTGGGTCAGTTGTATCTAGGGAATCAGAAATGGGTCTTTAGTCAATGATTCTGTGGTTTAATGTTAGTGTCACCCACTAAAATCTGTTGACAATGTTTTCATAATACATAGATTGCATTATAAATATATATTATATATTTATTATATGCATAACACAGTATAACATGCATACTTTATGGACTATCATATATATGTGCATAATATATATGCATACATACATACATCATGCATCTGTAAGAATGTAACATGTTACTACATGCCCGTGTAACTACATTTCCGTGCATTTAGTGCTTAGTGTTTTGTGGTCGTTATTTCAAATAATATAGTACTGTCAAGAAAGAGTATAACGAAATGTTTAACCCAGGAAGCATCACTTGAAAGTAGATATCAAACTCTGTTGACCTTTCCATAAAGAATCAGCAGCAACCATAGTGGAGATGCTGAAGGACGTCACTTTGTATGAAGGAGAAGACGCAGTGTTTGAATGCAGGCTGTCCCGGGAAACAAGTCAGGATGCCCAGTGGTTCCTGGGGGATGTTCCCCTGCAATCCAATGAAATGAATGAGATCAAAGTCCAAGGGATGCGTCACACTTTGATCCTGAGGAAGGTGACACTAGAAGACTGTGGGCCCATCAGTTTCAAAGTCGGGCAGCATACCTCAGCAGCACAGCTAACGGTCCAAGGTGAGCAACCTCCTGGGAAGAGGGATTTAGAAGGTACTGGTAAGCACTGTCAATATTGCTTTATCTTCTGGAGAGGTTTATTTGGGAGGAGGGGTCTCTGGAAATCTTAGGAAATTTGGTTAACCTAATTTAGGCATTTAAGAGGTAGACATGTACATCTGAGCTAGTTGTTTCAGCCTTCTTTCATAGTCCATGGAGTGAAGCAGACATCCTTGGAAGACCATCCAACTTATCCTGAAACAAGCATCTAGGATACGTCAGAATCAATGCTGAAGGTTGTCAAGAATATGCTCTGAATTAGTCTGCTACTTATGATGTTTTTAGATCATATTTACACCAAAAAAACATCCAGAATCTCTGAAAAACCTTCCATTAAGTTCTACAGAATGATTTTGAAAGATGGGCCACGTCAATCCTTACCTTGTTTGTTCCTTTTTGATCTGGTTCACAATGTAACTAGAGGCACCCAGTTCCGATCTGGGGGCAATGCTGGATTAGGCGGTTGCAGCAATATTGGTACCCTCTTCCCCACAGTTGCTCCGGTCACCTTTGTAAAGGCTCTCCACAGCTTGGAGCTGCAGGAGGGTGGCACGGCTCACTTGTCCTGTGAGGTGTCCAAGCCCGATGTCCCAGTGGAATGGAAGAAAGGCACGTCCGTGATCCGCTCCAGCCAGAAGTGCAGCATCAAGCAGGAAGGGAATATACACACGCTGGTCATCCATGATGTGAACCACGCGGACGCGGGGGAGTATAGCTGCCACACAGCCGATGGGAAGACCACTGCCAGACTAGAGGTTAAAGGTATGATTTCCTCTTTGCTCAGCAGCGGTGAGAGGTGTACGTGTCAATTTTTGGAGCTCGCCAGTACAAGACAGACGTTGAGGTAGTGGAGCAAGTGCAGCAGAGGCCAAGTTTGTCAGAGGGCTGGAGCACATGAAGCATAAGGAGAGGCAGGAGTAGTTGGGTTTGTTCAACCTGGGGAAGAGAAGGTTGGCGGGGGGAACCTCTTCAATGTCTGCAGCTACCAAATGGGAGTCTACAGAAAAGAGAGAGACTTTCCTTGGGGTGCTCAGTAAACAGATGAGAGGCAACAAGTGCAAGCTGCAGCAAAAGAAGGTCGCAAAAGAAGGAAGAAAATGCAACCTTTCACAATGAGGGGGTGGTCAGACACTGGAACTGGGATCTAGAGTGGCAGAGGAATCTCCATCCATGGAGGACCTTCAGAGGTCTCTTCAGCCTTAATTATTCTGTAATTGGTCCCTGGCTGCATGATCTGAAACCTCAGGTCTGCAGGTGTGTATTCTTTGAGTGCTTTTATCCTGTGCAGTGGTTTTATTTTGGGGATGAAAACCCATATGGGCTTCAGAAATTATTATGGAAGTTAGCTGGGAATTCTTTGTGAAAAGAAGTCTAGGATAGCCTGAGGGATGGGATGCCATCAAGAAGGACCTGGACAAGCTCGAGAGTGGGCCCGTGTGAACCTCATGAGGTT